CCCCAAAACCCCAAAACCCCAAAACCCCAAAACCCCAAAACCCCAAAACCCCATGTACGTATTAAATAATTGATTCTTATTTATAGCTTGTAGCTCAAGAGTGGGGAAATCAAGATATTTTAACAAGTTTTGAAGGCTAATATTACATTTACAGCAATACTAACAATATTTGATTTCAATAAGTGTTACCATTACCCTTTTCGAAGAAAATTATGATTCTAATTTTATGTGAGCAAAATGATATTATGAGGCTCTCCAACCTCCATCATACTTGACCTTTTGATCGATAATTACATTGTGTCCAAGACTGCTGATTTTAGCATCTTCAAGCAACATTGTATCTCCTTGCATGAACTTAACACTTGGAGTTTTCTTAGCTTTCAAAAACAATTTAGCAATATGATCTGGAGTTGTATCATCTAAATCTGCTTTCCTTTCATAAATTCCAAACTTAATCATCGCCATGAGGACCCTGAAAGTCTTGGTCTTATTAACTAGGAAGTCAGTGGTCTTCTTCCTTTCATTCCTGACTCTAATCGTAATAAACATGCTTTCTACAATCTCAGGGGTTCCAAAATCAAGATCTGGGCAGACCAGCTCCTCCTTGCCATCAGGAGACTTGACACCCCAGTTCTCCAGTCAGTACCCACACTGATATTTAGTTTTCTTGAATCATTCCTTACATCTGACATAGCTCTTGCAAGCTGGGCATGACAGTCTCAGGAAATTAGTTCCATTAAAGTTCTTTGTGCATCCTTGGCACTGGTCAGGATCAACCTTCTTCTCTTCTTCCATACCCTCCATTATCTATAAGCTATGCGTTAAGTAAGACTACGAAGAAAATTGGGGGTTTAAGCGGCATGAAGTTCAGTAGGATTTTGACAGAAGGAATTTTAAGTTGGAGATATAAGAAAACAGCAAATCTTCCATACTTACAATTTAACTTTATTTTTATGATAATGCAATTGGAAAGTTGCTATATGGGGTTTTGGGGTTTTGGGGTTTTGGGGTTTTGGGG